CTCTCCCCCCCTCACGTGCCCTCCAAAAAAATTCCAGCACCACTCCCCTAAAAATTCCTGGGGAGACCCCTGTTACATGGTGCACCTAAAATATTTTTGTGCACCCAATATTTCAGGTTGGGTGCACCAGTGCACCTATTCCAAAAAATGAATTTCAAGCCCTGTGAAACTCTACACTCATTGGCTATCAGGCAAAAACACCAAATATGGGGTGTGTGGAAAATTCCTGTTGGTTTTACAAGTGCTTGTTTGTTTTGACAACCATGTAAACATGAAAAGAGGTGTTGGTGAAAAATGAACCCCCATAGGATTACTGTGAGCAGATGTTTAACACCTGGGGTTTTATGAACTAGACTGCACATAATATTAGTAGTAGGCATCCTTCCATCTCGAAAGATGATGGTAGCACTCTAGGTCTGGTGTACATAATATTAGTAGGGCTGGAAACACCACCTGCATGTGCAATGTTAGGCTGCACAAATTTAATTTGATGGTTCATGGATTTGCCTGCTTTATTTTTTTCTGATTTGCAAAAAAAAACATTTCAGCCTCAAAATTAACTCCCAAATGCTCATATTTTGGTCCCAACATTTGACCAGGGTGTATGCAGGTTAGTGCAGGTAAAATTGGAGCTGTGCAGGTATTTCTGATGGCTACCTGTACCTAACCTGCACTGGGCCATGTACTGGGTACATGCAGGTTAGTGCAGGTAAAATTGGAGCTGTGCAGGTATTTCTGATGTCTACCTGCACCTAACCTGCACTGGTCCATGTACTGGGTATATGCAGGTTAATGCAGGTAAAATTGGAGCTGTGCAGGATGTCTGCCTGCAATGGTCCATGTACTGGGTAGATTTGCTGTGAAAATTTTTTATTCACAGCATGGACTCACTGTTACCACCTCATGTATGAAATATAAAAGGCATTTGGTTTCTGAACAGATTTAGCATGATCAATACTTTGTAAGTTCTGAGTAGTGCGGGTAAAATTTGTCTGGTGCAGGTAAAAGTCAATGTTACCAGCACAAGTGCTCCAGAACTATAGTGACTTGAGTCTCAACAGCTATAATGTAATTGTGCAACAAATACAGGTTAATTAACTAGCACTAGGGAAGGGGCCCCACCCTGCCATACTTTAAAAAGTAAACACTTAAAAAAATAGAAGTCAAGGGTCAATCAATGCACAACGATTTTGCACACATACAGGCATGCAAACACATGGTTTGTCATATATAAATATGGGTTATACCAAATTATTCTCAGTAAAAGAATTAGGAATGTTATTTTGTCAGCTTTTCAAGGAAGGAGCAGAAGTTAATGAAATCCATTAGCATGTGTGACGGGGCAATTATAACATTATCTCTCCCAAGGTAACGAAGTTACCAATCTGGACTCCTGATAATTTGATATGCAGACAGATATCACAGTGGATATGTCTGGACACTCGGGAAAATAGGTGAAATATGTGCAAGTAGCGCTGACTGTACCTATTCCATCAGGCCATTACTAACATCCTTGAAGCGTGAAATCTTAGTTTACAAAGTTTACAAATCCTTGCCTTATGATTATCGTACATCAACTAGAAAATAACAAATTATCATAAAGAGTGATTCTAAGCTTCTGAATCATCCAAACAAGGAAAGCTCTCCTGTGTTTGCCTACCAATTCTGGAACTTTATAATAATATATCTGTATGCTCAGTAACTAAGGAAGTGGTCCAAAAATGTTATGATATTTACCACTTAGACCAATAGTTCTCATGCCAATAACTGAAAAAAAATGATTCATTCCTTCCCTCATATTTCTATGATGTTTCCTGCTTGTATGCACTCAATGATCAATGACCAAAAGATGAATAACTTGCTTAGGGGGTCTTGTCTCTTGAAATATTATTTTAAAAGCCTGTTAATTTTTTCCCTCAAACTGTAAAAAGGGCACATTTATGCATAAAATATCATGGCTTCAGAAATGTTAATGAGAGAACAAAGAATGACATAGTCGTCTTTTGTTGTTGGCTTCTGAATAATTACCGGAAAACCCTCTGCTCCCAATCCATTTGGGGTTTCAAAAATGACCAGTGTCTGCTTTAAAAGCACAACTGCATGTAGAATTTGCTCTTCCTTCAGTGAATTTTACTGACGTAGTTAGTTTGTGACGAATTAGTGACGATAAACAACCCACAACAGACAAACGAGTCATTTCCTGTCTGGTTTATATATGCGGAAAAAAAATTAGTATCATCAAAACTTTGACTAGAATTTTGAAATAAAAACTATACTGCATTTATGTAAAATGGGGTTAAAATATTGTGTTACGGCGACATACTGACGCTTGGAACGGAAAAGAATGAAGAAGAGGAAAAAATATTTACATATTTTAACTCGGACATGCTGTGGTTGAAGCCAACCGGCGTCAGCGGCCATTTTGAACGAAATTCTTGTTTACTGAAAAACCTACTCCAAAACCCTTAAAATATTCCCTACAAGGCCGATATTGAGCCCGAATCCCTACTGGTATGTATCAATTGGTGTGAAGGGTAAGAGAAATATCACATAACGTTTCCAGAACATTTTCAAAACTGATAAAATTTCGAAAGGCGCAGCGTGCAACAAGAGCGACTGTGGCGGCTTTTGTTCTCGACCAGTAATCCCCGCATCTCACCACGATTTGGGGGGCAAAAAGAACTACCTGAGACAAATGGATAGCGACAGGGCGTGGGGGACTTACCTTTCTATCTACTCCAGCTTGGTCGGTGCCCACACTATGCGGGGAAATGCCAAATTTCTAACAGTTTTTGCCTCTTCCCGCAACGTTGACGTTTCTTCTATGTTGCGAAATGGCGAGTGATCCCAGCAGCCCCCGCGCAAAATGTTGTATCGAAATCTCGCGAGACTTAGAATATTGGACTATTCTACTTTATCTACAAGGGGAGATGTAGAAAAATATCATAAACTTCTGCTTATTTTTTAGTAATAAACACATTATTGCAATGATTTTTCGCACTAAATAGATTTAAATTTTAGTTAGTAATTTGATATTTCTATCATCTTTATATTCATTGATATTTCTATTAGATAAAGAAAATTTTTGCATAAGAATCAACCCACGAGAATGGACAGCTCGCATAAAATTTCAAAGCAAATGGCGGAAAAGAAAACGGAGGAGAAATCTTGTTTTTCTCCGCGGTTTGTGGCGTAAATTCACCCCGTCCGAATGCTGAACGAGATCGTTTTGGTCGGCGGTTTGATTTTTGTCTTTACGTTGCTGTACTTATCGTTTCTTTTGCCTTCTAAGATGATCGGGAACGACGAAGACGACAAGGAGAACTCCACCAAAACAGGGGGGAGGGGTGGAGATAGGGACCCCGTTCTGAGGGAACTGTCGCTCACGAACGGACAGATCAATCGGATGAACAAGGAAGAAGTGCGGCAGAAACTAGAAGAGCTACACTTGGAGACGAGAGGCGTGAAGGAGGTCTTGAAGAAACGGCTGAAGTCTTACTACAAGAAGGAGAAGTTGTCCCCGAATTCCACCCCCGAACGCTACGATTTTCTCCTTGTCATAGACTTCGAGGCCACCTGTATGGAGGAGAACCCTCCCGACTTCCAACACGAGATAATCGAGTTCCCGATCCTTCTGGTCAACACGGAGACTCTGATAGTCGAGGACCAGTTCCACTCCTACTGCAAACCCACCATCAACCCCAAACTCACCCCCTTCTGCACAAAACTGACAGGGATCACCCAGAAAATGGTGGACAAGGCTCCTGAGTTCCCCCAGGTTTTGGAAGACGTTCTGGACTGGATGTCTAGTAAGGGATACGGCATGGGGCACTCTAGGTTTGCGGTTGCGACGGACGGGCCGTGGGACATGTGCAGGTTCCTGTACCAGCAGTGCCTGTACTGCGGTATCCCGTACCCCCGGCCGTTCCGCAAGTGGATCAACGTGAAGAAGCATTTCGCCAACTTCTACCAGACGAAAGGTGGCACCAAGCTGGAAGAGATGTTAGCCAGCCTGGGGCTGAAGTTCGAGGGGAAGCCGCACAGCGGACGGGACGACGCGGTCAACATCGCGCGCATCGCTGGTCGGCTGATCCAGGACGGCTGTGAGCTGCGCGTGAACGAGTGTCTGAACAATGGCAGGGTGGAGCCTGTCGTTTCCCAACGGGCAAAGCTGGCGTCCAGTAACTAGGATACTCACATGATGAGGCCATGCTGTTTTAATTTATGGATAATTCTTACAGCTGTACATACCAGTACACTGTATCGTAGGGCTCTCTACCAGTACATGGTACCGATACTGTACTGGACAAATTGATTACATTAATTAAGTTCAAAAGTATTTGTTTAATTTTTCAGGAACATGTCCGGACTTGTAACTAAATGATCTATGTACTAGTACCTGTACCTGTACCTGAACTGTTTAATTTTTCAGGAACATGTCCTGACCTGTACCTAAATCTGTGTACCTGTACCTAAACTGTTTTCAAGAACATGTCCGGACCTGTATCTAAATCTATGTACCTGTACGTACCTAAACTTTAGTATAATATACTGGGTACACAGCTGAGCTCTAATAATAATTTTCGCAAATACTAATACTTGATAAGCAGAAATCTGCTTGAAGGCTGCTCTTACATTTGGCTAGCCAAATCAGCGCTGTATATCTTTTGTTATAATGGCCCATTCCTGTCTATTGCTTGACCCCTAGACCACTACTGTCCATTGGGCTCCATCTTGACTTTGGTCAATGGCAAAAAGCATGTATTGGCTCTGTAAATTTCCCTCTCAGGAAAATGAAAGTCTAACTTGTTTTAACATTCAACACATTGAAATAGTCGTTTGGCTAACAATATTTTTTTGGGGTTATGGGGTAAGGCTGCAGAGAGAAGCCAAGTAAAATAAATAAATAATAAGTAAAATTAAGTACTGCACTGTATATCCAATTAATTTTTACACCCCTGTGACAAAGTTGTTAGTTGCTCTGACTGAGCAAAATAAGAAGGAAAATAATATGCATGTTGCCCTGAAAAGTACAAGAATGGCTCAAAATATGTTAGTTAGTGCAAGTAAAATTGAGCTGTGCAGGTGTTTCTGATGTCTACCTGCACTGGTCCATGTACCAGGTTTATTATACATTAACATATGAATGTACTAGTAAGTGTATGTGGATTTTTGTTTGCTGCCTAGACTCCTACTGCCTGAGAAGTATAAAATAGATAATGGCAATGGTTTCTTAACAGTTCTTAGTATGATCCATACTTCCGACATTCGTTTTGTTGTGGTGCACATAAAATTTGTCTAGTGCAGGTTATTTTCAATGTACTTATATGCACCAGTGCAGGTATGCAGAAAGTATTTCAAGCCCTGAAGAATAAATAAATTACCGTTGTAATGTTGTTCACATGGAATAAGTCACATCAATTCTTGATACATTTTGTTATTTCTTTATCCTCAGAACTTGGCAACTGTTTTATACTCTTGCATCAGATATCTGGAGGATGTCTGTAAAAATTGAGTTTGTCTGACCTAGTCACAAGTTATTTGTCAAACTGGAGGAAACATCTGGACAGAAATCCAATAGATCACAACAGAGGTCAATACAGACAAGTTATAAGAGCTCTGATTGGTCATGTTACAGTTGCTATGGCAATGATTGGATGTTCACTTGTGACTCAGAGGCATATGTCATTATTGCCCTCCTGGTCATTACATACTGTAATGTCATTTAAATTGGGCAGGAAAAGAAGTTGTACTCTCATGGTATTGTGTCTTAATGAAAGTTTCTTCATACTACTAAAGTAATACTTAAAGGAACCCAAAGCAATTTTAGGGCAGTGAAACTGGATTTCCAAACTCAATTTTCTGGTTATTTTTTTAAAACATATTTTCATTTTTTTCATATTTACATTTTTTTCATAAAAGTTGAATCAACCCTATCCATAGTATACTGATATCTGTGAGGCAAAAATGTGTGGAAAATGGTTGCTTGTTTTGTGTTGTATATTTGTATTGTCTCGCTATTGGTGGAACCTGTAAATTTAGGAGTCCTCATGTAACTTGTATTGGGGCTATGTCAAATACTTTGAGTATTATATATTTTGACAAAGATGTGCTAAGAAATGGCAGTAAATTTCAATATAAAACAGATTTCTTCAGTCAGAATATTTTTTTAGTTTGCCAGGCCTAAAATTGCATTGGATGCCTTTAATAGGTAGAGTCAAGAGTATCTTCCTATAGATAAAATGTGATTACCACTGAAAAATGTTGCAGTATGTTTGGTGATGTGCCAAATATGTCAGGTGTGTGGTGGAAATTTGTCCTGAGCTTTGTACACTTCAAAGAATATGTAATACATGTACTTCATACTACATACATACCGGTAGTGTTAGTGTATATGATAACTTTGCCAATGATAGAAACCACAGCTGCAAAGGTCCATATGAAATGTTTACTAGAACAAAGGTTCTGGCACAAATATTGGAGAGACAACTAGGAAAAGTTTCATCTACTAGTAGCTCATAAAAATGCTCTAACAAACCTTTTATATTATAAGAAACATACTGCTGATGCAGTTTTCAATACTACCCTTTTTTCTTTCTTCATTTCAGTATGATACTGTGTCTGAACTGTAATTACAGTAAATACATAATTTACATGTACTTTGTTGACCTCTGCCTAATAAATATCACTGGCTACAAGTATAGCGCATGTTCTGACTCCTTTGAACCTGAAGCTCCGATTGATTGTTACACTGCTACTGATGATAAGAAAAGAATAGGAATTGGGCTTACAAGTCAAGTCAAGTCAAATGTATATGGTACTCTTCAGTTAACTACATATGAAATCTAGCTAACATCTACTCTCACGTCTACAGTAATGCTTACAAGTTCTATGCATCGAAAATAACATTATTCTATTTCAAACAGGTAATATATTACATGTATATAAATATATGAAACATGGCTTGCATGGTAATGTACAGGAGTTGTATGGGACAAAGTCATCTCCCCGAGTTTTAGACCAAGAAAAACACACATTGGTTGGGTATTCCAACCTATAAAGTGTGCATTTAGTCCATGATATGACCCAAATATACACTAGGCCCTCTTGACAGCTGATGACCAGATGCAAATCTATGTCTTTTTTAGCAAAACAGACAACCAAAACATGGCTGAAAGTCCTCTTTTTTTCAAAAAGAAAAACAAAACCCTTACCTATTACGTCAGGTTTCAAAAAAATTTTCCATGAAAAAGACTTCTTTACATTTGGTATCACAATCACAATGTGATCCATGTAGACTAAAACTAGGCTCATTGCGCTTGCACAGATTAGGCCACACCAATTTAATTTGTTGTTTCTTGGATTTTTTCAGAAAAAAATATGAAGTGACAGGGCGAAAAAAAAAACAGGCCAAGGCACCCCATGAAAGCCAGAAATATTACAATATGAGCCATGAAGTGAACATACCAGGCTGGTTTATAATCAAAACAATAGATTTTGAACTTTTAATTAAACAAAATTGCATTGTTACATTGAAAAACTTTAACAACTAGGAAGAAAAGGACTTTCTTCAACAAACGGGGCCAAAATATGTCTTTCATTGAAAATTTTGCAGTTGATTTAGAACAATTTTTTTTTGCATATCAGAAAATAATGGACAGGGTGAATCCAAGAAACAACAAATTAAATTGGCGTGGCCTAATAGCCAAATATGTGTCTTCATTCTGAAAGCCAGTCATCCTCTTGGTCATCATCACTGTCTTCCAAGAAGTTCATGATCTTCCTTTTCCTGGTGCTTCTCCTGATGTCTTCCCCAGACCCCTTCTTCACTTCACTGTCAAGATCAGCTCCATTACCGCTTACATCACTTTCTACATTGCCTAGTTGTAGCTCTGTCACTGGCTTTTGTTTTACGCACAAATCTGCCCGATGATGTCCGTTAATCGCTCCACCTGGTGGAAGGCTGAGGGACTGCATTACTGAGCCTAACGTACCATGGACTTGCTGGTTTTGTTGACTTGTTGGAGTAGCCATGCCCTTGGAGAATCCTAGCACTTTAAGGACTGCGGAAGCTCCCAAATCATTGTTACTGCCCGTGACTGGCGTGGAATGGTTGTAATGTTGCGACGTTGCAAGCGGGGCCACCACCGGAGCAACTGGTTTTGGGGTTATTGGTTCAGGGGAAGGGGAAGGGAAGATGCCAGCAGAGACCAGGTCCTGTCGTGTTGTATTACGGATGCGGCTGTTGGTATAGTTCAGACTCAGCCCTGCATCCTCAGAGATCCCCTTCATCATGAAGCTGATGTAGTTCTGTCCTGGAGGGTGGTCCTTGTACCACCTGGAAGGGTTTTAAAAAAAGTGCAGTTAGGCCTGTTTCTGAGACTCCTTCTGTGATCCTCTCTATCCAAGGAAAAACCTGAGACACACACTCACATACAAGAACTACTGTACAATGTACATGTACATTGTATGTGCAGGGCTGACATCACTATTGAGTTATGCAGTGAAAACCTCCAATCAAAATACAATGCTAGTCCATCACAGATTAGCATTGTTACACTATTAATTTTTGAAACTCGCACGTGGTGAGGTCTACAAATTCAGATAAGTCTCGTGTCCTTTGACACTTGTGACGGAGGCCTCACCACAGCGCAAGTTTCAAATGGTGTAACAACACTAATCTGTAATGGACTAATGTAAAACAAGTAATACTGGTAATTGCACTTTTTGGTACATGTATAATAAGACTTCAGTGGACTTAATAGAATAAGTATTGGCCCCCTTTGAAGAGGGTTTGAATAACTTTCTCAGCCACATCAGAGAACATTACCCCATGTAAAAAATCAGGTATCGGCACTTCTACAACAAAATCAACACAGCTGCTTCCCAGAAGTCTGCAAAGGAGGCTAAGCATTAGTACATACTGGTACAATTAAATCTTATGGATGACATATCCTCCTCAGACTCCACATTTAATTGATTGTTAATACGCAACAAAACTGTTGACCCGTAATATGCGAGCGATATTGTGCCTTAAGTTTGCTGGACTGCTGACAGTCTTTGATCCAATAGACTTTTACTAACAACATTTTGTACCGGAGCCAACAAAGTTTTTTTTCCGAAATCAGTGCAACTTTGAAACTTTATTAGAATAACCATTAGTCTTCCAGAGTGAACGGAGAGGAATCAAACTGGTTCGATGTGACATCTGGGACTGGACAAGGGGACATTCAAGGGCCCCCAGTGTTTAATGTTTGCATAAACCTGGCAGCACACTTAACTGAGATAAGCAAACAAATCAGTACAGGTGCAGTGTTGCAGCGGGATAGTCATGGCAAGCCGTCGGTCTCTGTTTTGGATACGGACTATGCTGATGACATGGCTTTACTTGACAACAAGAAACTGGGTCTACAGGAGACAACTGATCTGTTATGCAAAAACAGTGCTCTTGCGGGACTTAAGGCCAACGCCAAAAAGACGCAAGCTATGACAGTCGGCAAGCATATTGCACAGCAACCTTACACTGAAGAAAGCACACTCAGGATCACGGTAGATGGATATCCCGTGGAGCAGGTTACTCACTTTACTTACCTGGGAGGTACAATCAGCAGTAACGGGACAATTGACTCTGAAATTTCCAAACGGATTCAGAAAGCTTCTGGTGCTTTTAACTTACTTGGTAAGATCTGGAACAACAGGAACATCCTTCAGTCGACAAAATTTCGGATATACAATGCTGCTGTTGTCACCATACTTACCTACGGTAGTGAAGCTTGGACTACTACCCAGGTGCAGATAGCGAGACTTGAAACGTTTCATCAACGCTGCTTGCGCCGTATCCTCCGCATCAGATGGTATCACCGGGTACGGAACAGTGATGTACTGCTGCAGGCACAGTTAGTGAACATAGCCACAACCGTAGCTTTCAACAGGCTTAGGTGGTTTGGGCACATTGTAAGAATGCCTGAAGAGCGGCTGCCCAGGTATCTACTAGACTGGAAACCGAACTATGGGCGACGCTCTAGGGGAAGGCCTAGGAAGTCATGGAATAACTGTGTCCTGGAAGATGCTGTGCTGATCTTAGGGAGACCCAGTACCAGTCTAGAAGAGTTAAAGGAACAAGCAAGAGATAGGAAGGAGTGGAGAGGACTGTTGAGGAAGAGACGAGTTCTGTGCGCAGGCCACTCGAACGACTGACTCGAGGAGACCTCAACAAGTACAAGTAAGTACTTCCTGGCATTCATTCATACAGAAAATACATATATACATAGTATTACATAGTTGACAAAGTCACAAAACAACATCTAAATCAATAACATATTTATAATACACAATTATTTAAAAACAAACAACCCTGTCAAACAAGTGCTGGTGTGCTACTGATAGAAGTATTTGTGCAAACCGTTCTTAAAGACTCTCAGGGATTGTGTGGATTGCATAACAATTGGAAGGTTATTCCACACACTAACAGCCCTGTACATGGAACACTTCATCAGTGCGTTAGTTCTTGGTTTGTATAACACGTGTTGGTGTCATCCATAAAAATAACTTGCTGTGGCCTAATTAGGGGAAAGCACAAACCTGCCCTTCCTTGGCTGATGCGTGCCTCGCACTGGTTTCTGGAAAAGAGAACTGCAGAAGGGGTTCAGCTTCTTCAGGTACAGTTTGGTCACCGCGACTGGACAGAGTTTACCGCCAGCCGCGTACATCCTGTCCTCCAGCTGTATGTATTCCCTCCCTGGTCTTCTCAGGGTGAAGTAGGCCTTCTCCTTGCCTTAAAATTTGAAAAAAAAAGGCAGTTAGACCCAGGACTATAGCGGCCTGTTATTAGCCAACTCAATTTTTTTTTTTTTCCCTCAGCTCTGGTTCATGATCTTTGGGGGAGAATGCTCACTGTCTAGCAGGGTCCAGCTGGCAAATTTTGGATTTTCAAGCCTTTAAAAACAGTTTCCCACATTGTAAGGGCAAATAATGGGGTTGTCCTTTGTATGCTTTTACTGTAAGATTTTTGTCTATTAAGGTAGATGGATTGGTTTTAAAAAATTTCCATCACACTCAACAAAGTTCCTGCAATGGACTGAAAAACTGGTGCTGGCTAGAGCCCTGGTTAAACCACATGAATCTATTTCCTTGGTTCTATGACATTTAGTAGTCTTTAAAGGATCATCAGCAGCTGCAGGGTTTCAATATCTACTCTACAGTCAATCTAGGCAACCTTTTTTATTTTTTGTGTGATACCAGACAATTCAGACTCAACAAGTCTGCCATACAGTACAGATCTTGAACTCTTGATCTAAAGTTGTGCAAGACATACATTTGTACATGTATGGTTAGACCCGTTAAAACCAAGGCTCAAAATAATGGGTGCCTTATTTTAGCAAGACTTATCAAGACGAAAGCTAATGGCAAAGTAGCATCCTCCTTGCCTAGTTGGTCCTGTAGTGTCAGGTCTTCATGTAAGGTGAGGTCTTCCTTCTTCAACCTCAGCCACTCGTCCGAAGTCCTGACGTGGAAGTGGATGGTGAAGTAGAACCAGACCAGTCTCTGTAAGCTGACCGGTGTGGATGTACCCAGGGTTCTGGTGTCAAACAGCTTCTGTAGATCAGGGATGTTCAGTGATTTTATCCCGCACTTCGCCTCAAACCCAATGGAACAGTCCTTCAGCACCTAATGTAACAGACATGATACGACTTTTGTGATTATGATAATTAGTAGATGACCACATATGGAAAGTGGTTAGTGAGAGTAACCAATCAGTGAAGAACTATAATAATTGTTAGCATAGTTGAGCTTGGAAGTGTATAAGTTAGTTTGTGACCTAGTAGTACTACTAAGATACATGACTGTAATCATGTCTAGACAAGTTGTAGCTCTCTGTAGATTTTTAGGTTGTACAGCTTGTAGCATCTCACTTGCATTGTATTCTAGACCTATATGGTAACTCTCCCTGTAACTAAGAGTTAAAGTCCTTGTAAACCATTACTAGACCACATACATGTTAGTACATAGTACTGAGAATGGATAAATAAACGCAGCTTCACAGAAGTAATCAAACTGGTTTGGATCTCCGTTTATAGCGATATAGACATGTAGGCACTAAGATAACAAACCCCACTGCTACCCTATTTATGTTTACCAAAGGAAAACATATTGTTTCTGCTACGTTTGTTCTTCTTCCATTCCAAACACTGACCTCTGACCTGGTCAATGACCTGATTTGTTGACGTCTGTCACCATGGTAACTGGTGTTGGGTTACATAATGTTGCAATTTTATAGTAGGAGTGATTTATACTCCTGTCTGACCATCTGTATGAATGAGTCAACAGAACAGACCATATGCAAACTTTTAAGGTAAACATTATGCATTTGCTTTGCAAATGTTACGTTTCTAGTTATTATGGGGCTCGAAATACTGGGTACATGTGCACCCTAGTCCATGACATATACTTATTTTATTTTATACGGTGCACCCAAAATAATTTTTGGGTACTCAATTTTTTAGATTGGGTGCACTAGTGCACCTTTTCCCAAAAATGAATTTCGAGCCCTGTAATATATAATTGTTATTTATTACAACCTGTTGCAGCGTGTTGTTTGCTGCGGTGAATGCTGCATCAGAGATGATGTTGTAGCCGGTGCCTGCGGGATGGTGGATCAGGTAGGTCTTGATGGCGCTCCTGAAGGCTAACATGGTCTGGGCGCCGTACCGTCCGCCAGCCGGGTTACGCAACTCGTAGTAAAACTGCTGCAGGAGACGGGAAAGCTCACCACAGGGGAGGGTTTCAAAGTCTGTAGGCTTGTTTCTTGCCAGGCACCACTCTGTGGGAACAAACAAACAAGTAAAACATCAGCAATTCTGTGTTTAAACTTCGATTTGATGAATCTTTATTCTATGAGATAAAGAGACACGTGACCATAGACGGGGTGACACAAGTTATCTGGCACGTATGACCCACTACTACAGTCACGTGTCTCTGACATCATGTACCAAGAGTAGACGGGTCCATTCCGTGAACAAGGTTGAAGGACTCAGCCAAAAATTTGGGGTAAGTCCCAATTCATTTCAGTGTTGGAAGGAAAGTTTATTAAGTCTTTATCTCATAATGACTTGTACCAAATGAACACAGATGCTGACTCAGTTTTCATTCTATTGAAAAAGCCACTGGACTGCAGTGATAAATGAATTTTTCACTGCACAAAGTATCTCAGGGATAAAATTACTGTCACTTGCCTGGTTACCAAATCTATTTTCATTAAAATTAGCTGCTGAGTCTTTTTCATCCTTTTTGCAAACAGTTTCTTTTTGTGGAAAGGGCAAATTTTAGAGCTAATTAATTACTTGACTTCACTTAAGCTATGCCATGTGTACAGACATTTGTCCCTCAAACAGGAATGTGTTTGAAGGAAGCTATGTTTTACCCTTTGTTTTAGTCTGATGACTTAGCCTAATGGTGCCATCCTACTTATTACATGTACTAGTACAAGGTTACCCAGTGTCACACAGTTGACGAGCTTTGGCCGTATTTGTTGGTTACTGGAAGCAAGGAGGTTAAATACAAGTTAACCTCTTTGCTGGAAGGTTGCCAAATTAAAAAATCACCTGAGAATCGAGCATGTTTTTTGCTCCAAAAAGATATTATTTTCAAATCATCCAGGGCAAAATTCTAAATGTAACGTACATATTAGTACAAAAACCATGAAAAATCTGGGTTTGTCACACTGACCTTTCAGCGTCCTGATGAAGTACCTGACACTGTTGTCCTTCCGTCCACACCTCCTACAGTTCTGCTCCAGCTCAGTAACCTTCTCTGCACTCAGCACCCGGGAGTACTCATCATTAACCCACGGAGACCAGGAGGACATCCCAGACTCCTCCTCCTCATCACTGTTATCAGGAGACAGGTGGGGGATGGGGGGGAAACCTGGGCTGGGTGGAGACCATGTGTCCTGACTGGCATCAGGAAGATCTGGTAGTTCTGAGATCAGGATAGAGGGCAGTGGTTAAGAAATACTAGTACTTTTTTTAATGTTCTGCAATATTGCAGATTGTTAAAATTTTGTTGTCAAATTTTTGTTCTGCTATTTGAAAATTCTTTTTTTCAAATACACAATATACACACTTGATGAAAATTGTATGTTGGAAAACATTTTACATGCCATTTGAAAAATATATGCAAGATTACTGTATATTACTGAGTCAGTAGTAAACAAAAAAGCTCAATTTTGTGTCTACTAAAAAAATCAGACACCATTGAACCCTTAGTCTGATTTCTTTGAGTCTGTAAAATTACAGGTTGCTTCATTTTTCTTCTGCAATATTGAAACTGCAGATGGGTATTTCTAACACTTGAGAGCAATTATACTGAATCTGGATGCCAGTTACCGTCGGTATAACTCTTTAAACAGTATAACATGAGACTTTCTAACTATATATAATAATAATATAAGAGAGTTTGTAAGTATACTCTGTGTCTGTGACAGTCTCTGTAAAAGATCTATCTTTGCATTCTGAGACATTACATGTGAAACTAAAAGTTCCAAGAAGTCAAATTTTGCCATGCCATTGAGCTCAACATGATGTTCCCAATGACAGTCTATAAAAACATCTTTCCTAAGTGATTGTTTATGAGTCATTTCAGTTAATCCACACTTATGTGATCACTTGCTTATTAGCTTCTCACCAAAGAAAATCTCCTCTCAAAAGAAGATGATCCTTGTAATAAATGCACATTTCAATGAACAGTCTGCCTACCTTGCTTCACAACCACATTGTCCAGTGCCCTCTGGCTGGTTGGCTGGTCCATGTGCACGTTTTCCTCTGGCTCTGTTAACATTTCGGCCAAAGACTCGGGAACGGTTGTTTTCGAAGTTGCCACAAGGCTGGACACTGTGTCAGAAGGGTGGATTACCTGTGTCTCTGTACTCACTCTGGACACATGGGTCAAACTACTGACCGGTGTTTCTCCCAAGCTACTGACAAGTGGGCTTCTACAATTCAAACTTGGTCCACGGTTCAAGTAACTGATTGGTGCACCTCCCACACTCACACCGGGCGCATGGTTCACACTACTGATCGGTGCAGTATCTCCCACAAACACAGGCAGCTGTCTCATCAGCGGTTCTATTTCCAGCAGTTTTGCAGCCTGCAGGACGCCCTCTATCATCCCGGCAGGGCACTGCAGGTTGGCTGTGTAGATGTAGTCCAGGATGATGGAGAACACCTCCGCTGAGATGAAGCTCAGGTCCAGCGTCTCCTTGGTGGGTTTCTTAGGAAAGCACAGAACTCCCTGAGAAATAAAGGATATAACAGTCTATGAGTTTTCTGATTGACGGTACATATAAAGTTAGCTTAGGCCACACCAATTTAATTTCTTGGTTAACGGATTTTTCTAGAAAAATAATGGAGCGGGCGGGCGAAAAAAATAAAAAAATAAAAACAGGCCTTAGGCATCCTATTATGGCCCAAAATGATATGATAGGAGCAATGAAGTCAACACACCAGGCTGGTTCAAAATTTAAACAATGAATTTTGAACTTTTAATGATTACCATTGCATTGAAAGATGGAATAACTGTAACAACTACGATGAAAGGGACTGTTTTCAACTGTTCAGGGCAAAATATGAGCATTTTGCAGTTGATTCTAAATTTTATCTTTATTTGCAAATCAGAAAAAAGTGAAGCGGGCGAATCCGTTAACCAAGAAATTAAATTGGTGTGGCCTTACTAGTATATTATATGTACAATGTCATGTATGTACTAAAACAGTACGTCAAGTATGTGGCAGCGCACAGTTCAGCTTTCTGCTATAAGTATAATTGTATATTGTGCATTGACTCTAGTACTTACTTCCAGAGGTACTTGGTGCTTATGCACTCAATCTGAATGGCCTACCATTCACAACTGAATGGCTAAATAAGTAAATTCACTAAGGCCTAGGAAAAAAAATGTTGTGTTTCCTGTTTCCTGACTGACCCTAGAAAAAAACTAGCCTTTTTTTGGGTGGATCCCTGCAAGGGACATAAATATTTCAAGCTGATCGACCTTTTCTTGCACCATGATCTGACACCTGAGTAATGAAACGTTGCACAATCAGTTTCCCAACGTTGACATTGAAAATGTGTCCTCATGCAAGTTTTACTTTGTTAAACTGTACTGTATGCTAAGTTGGTATAAGTTGGATCACTAGAGATCACCAAAGTCTAAAACTTTAATCAATTTTAAAAAGATAATCCATAAGTACAGAAACACAACATTTTAAATTTCCTAGGCCCAATTTGAAAAAAAATAAAAAAACAGACACTTGCTAATATTCACCTGTACAAAGATACTGTGGAAGTGTCCACAGCTGGCAGCCAGGACAGCGCGGTGACAGGGGAACTCCTGCTGTCCCGCACGCACAGCAATGTCACACAGCTGTCCCTGCTGTCGCATGGCGTTCAGACGGGACAGGACACCATGCTCCTGGACATACAACGTAACAACAGATCATAAAATATATAATATAATAGTTACATGTTTAAAGTGATGATGAAAGATTTGCACCATTTTAAACATAGTTGCTTATTTTCTTGTGCTATTAGCCTACCTGGGTTCATAACTTAAATAATGACATTTGGGGAGTAAAGATCAACGTTGTTGTGCAGCAAGTGGGTGGGGCAGGTTGACAGGCAGAATGACAGGTCAACAGATGAGACACGGTAGACCTTGCCAGTTTACAGAAACCAAAATATCATTGGTGTTGGAAATTACAGGTTAAATTTGTGTCTTAGCTTCTGTATTAGTCTGAATTGACCTAAGCTGAAAAGCACAATGTAAGAACATGTCAATTAAGACTAATAATAGTATGTAACATTATAATAATAAAAATCTAATAATAACAATAATAATATAATAATCTACTAATAAGCCAAGTGTTTTTTTTTCTTTTTCACAATTCCCAAAGAACTTACGTCTGTCCCTTGACCGTAACTTTAAAAACTAACACATACCCACCTGTTCTGGGAATTGAATGTTGATTATCCCTGCTGTTGACATGGTCAATATTGTTTCTCACTTCCAGCCAGGACTCCAACCTGTGAGTGAGTGAGCATAATCCTGAGGGTTTAAGAAATATATCTATATCATATAATGAAAGAATTCACTTGTGGAATAACTGACTACTTCAGCTGCCAATGATTAAATTTCAAAAATGCTCTACGTTGTGAAGGATCTTCCTGATACATATTGACCTTGATGTATATATTGACCTTGATGTTGTAAGTAGCAAAGCCCTCAGCATCCTCCCATGGCAGGGGCAGCGGCTCCGAATTCCTTCTCCACCCCTTACCCCTGCCGAATAACATGGCATCTTCTACTCTACGACCCCAGGAATATTAATATTCATGAGCTTGCCTTATTTGGCATGACCCCATTTCTGACTTGGGCGGCGAAGGCACGTCACCCTCACCGCCGGCGACTCCGCCGCCGCCCGATTACACCAGGGAAGAGACAGAGACTTTCGTTTGGCCGAAGTTCAGAGTTTTAATCACTTCAAAGAAACTCTGAGAATGCCCTACGGTATGCCCCCTTCCCACGCAAAAGGCTACATGCCTGGCAGCCAGGGAGTGGTGGGTGGGAATGCAAAATTCTTGGCTCTCTTATTTTGCGTGCTGCCAAGCAAGTAACCCGAACGTAAGAATGAAGCATGCTGGGACCTGTTGGGCGGACACTCCCTCCCGGAGGTGCAATCCCGACGAATTCCGCCGGGTGGCGCAATCCGCAACCGATTACACCAGGGAAGAGACAGAGACTTTCGTTTGGCCGAAGTTCAGAGTTTTAATCACTTCAAAGAAACTCTGAGAATGCCAAGGTGTCGCAGACACGGCCAAGGAAAGTGCGCTGTTATGTGAAAGGAGAGAGTGTCCGCCCTCCAGGCCCCTGGGCCTTGAAACTAGCAAACTGTCTGCAGAACAAAGTACACAACTGTGCGGAATTATATATCAGAAACATTGAACGGTTCATTACTCCACATTGTCATAACGGATCTTTCGTGAGATGTCTGTCTGAACAAGAATAACGTGCCGAAGTTGACGTTGTATAACTGACTAGTTAATACACTCGGAAGTACACGTGTAAGAGGGCCCTAACTAACTTCAACAAGAAAACCTGATAAGGCTGAGCTTGAGACCTAGCCAACAAATCCAGTGAAACATTAAGTATAATAGCTAAACTGCTATCTCGTCTCATTATCGTAGTTTATCTCTCCTGAGATGTGCTGCCGGGCTTGTCCGGAAAGGAAACCTGATAACCTGAGTAAAACACTCATAACTTGATGTACCCTAACTAAGGTAAACACAACTGGCTGAACAAATGTCCTATATACCTACAACAGTAGCGGATTAGAATAAATTGTATGATGTCCTGACAGATGAACTGAGTCCCACTATGGCATGTGGACTGCTATTAAACTATTGACATCTGTACAACTTGTTGGTTTCTTATACAAAACTTCTAAGCTTACTGTCCAACTAAGTCCATTCACAAACAAAGTCCGTGCTCTCAGTCTGTGTCAATAGTGTTCACGCGATGCTGTGCCTCAGGACGTAGTCTCTCAGAGCCGCCGGTACCCTCAGACGATCAGCCACCGTGGTCGACAGGTACACATGGTCCGCGTCCGACCGCCAGTCTCCATGCAGCTGTCGTAGTTCACGCGGCACGCCAGCCTGGAAGGCCAGCGTGTACCCTCCTCTGCGTAGATCGTGTAGAGTCAGGGAACCTGCGGGTATTCCAATGGAAGCTGCTGCTCGCGCGAACGCCTTCTCCAACATCGATGTGGTTAATGGTCTCAGCTTACGACCCCTCGTAGGGTACCACGAACGCGGGCTGATCTGGCTCTGTTGGGATTAAGTCACACATGTGCGTGTAGGCGGCAACCGGGCAAATCGGCGAACCCGGTATCGGCAATAGTGGAACTGAGAGAACCCGTTCGCGACTCTGTAGAGTCTTAGTCCACGTGACGTAGATGAGCAACCCAGCCGGTGATACGAGAATATCCCGCCTCTTCAAGTGCTTCTTCGGGTCAAACTGCGTCTTAGAATCCAACACTACATTTGAACGACGAAAGAATGTGAAGAAACTGAACACGATGGCTGCCCAAATGGCTGCGTCCCGTGGCACCTGGGTATTGAAACAGCCCGCGAGATCGACTAGTAATGGAATGTCCACCCTACCATGCTGACGAGGACGATGCTGCAATCGTTTCTTAAGTCCTTTCATCGTGTGCGCAATTTCGAAGTGATCCAAACTAAATGTGGTGAACCCGTTCAGGTGATGGAAGAGCTTCACGCTCGATAGGTAATGTGCTATAGAGTCCGAGGACCGCAGAGAACGTGACAGGAACTGGGCGTAGCACGCCAGGTTGTGTGGATTGGCAGGCATAGGAACTATGCCAAAGTAGTTGCAGAAATTAAGGTAAGTGGAAATATGAGTCTGATGATTACGAGATGTGCCGACCGCGAAAACTGATGCCTGAGTTGTCCTAGTGTCCTCCTCCAAAAGTTTCCACTGAAAGTCTGCATCTGGAGGAATAGAAGAATTACCAGTCATGAGAGAAGTCAAACATATCATCAGAAGCGTTGACCTCGCGTAGCTCATTCTTATCTACTTCCTCCCGGAACTGGTTCCTGTAAGACTGATGTAAGTGCCACCTGCTTAGTATATCCGGTAACGTATTCTCTATGCCCGAGATGTGTCGTGCTACTAGTTGGAAGTCCTTAATTGCCTGTATGTATACTAACTCCCTAGCGCACGCTTGAAGGAACTTGTCCGTCGAACGCCCCGTGTTGATTACGCATACTGAAGCCTCATTATCACACTCGATCAGCAAGCGTTGGCCTGCCCATGCGTGAGCCCACACTTTGCAACCCACAATCACCGTGAGAAGCTCTAAACAGTGTATGGGTAGTTGCTGTGCTAAGATGAACTCTGGGAACTGCCTGTGAAAGTACTCTGACCCGGAGACACCGCCGCAACCGGAGAGGCACGCATCTGTCGCCAGTGATGATGACGTGGGTCTAGGAATCAATCGAATCCCGTTAAACTTCGGCAGAAACCGTTCCCACCACATTATGTCTTTACAGAATTCCACGTTTAGTCGAACTACATGATGATTCCTAGTCAGTCCGCGCAGAGCATTGATCATCCTGGACAAGAAAACACGACCACAGGGAACGCAGGCCGTGATGAACATCAATTTACCCAACAAAGACTGAATGTCTTTCTTGCGCGCGCGTTTTCGGCCGAGCCACGTCCGCAGTTCGGCGAGGGTCTCATCCAGACGATCGTCCGTGACCTCCTTTGTCATGCTTACGGTATCATAGCCTATGCCCAGGAAGGCCATAGAAGTACACGGGGGAACTGCCTTGCCAGGCGACTCAACCAAACCCAAGTCCGTGAATGTGTCAGCGAGTGTCTGGAAGGCTGCCATAGCGCGAAGCGGTGTTTCCGCACCGCCAAAGTCATCAATGTAGTTAATGCAATCAAAACCCTTCATTCGATGAACGTATCTCACTGCCGAGGTCGTTCTTTGACAGGCCATTGCCGCGGAACGAATTCCGAAAGGAAAGGCCGTGTCGAAGTAAAACTGTCCGTTCCATTGAAAGCCTAACATGTTGTAATCGTACGGGTCCACCGGGATCTGTCTATACGCTCTGCTTAAATCACGTTTGTAGAGTAAGCAGCCCTGTCCTTTCTCCATTATCAACTGTTCGAATGCTGCGTGCCCCGGTAGCGTGAAGGAGAACGGTTCACCTAAATAATCTTGTGGAACAATCCGTCATTCACTGAATGTCCGACGGGAACTTAAATCTACCACTACTCTCCGCGCCTCTGAATCACGCTTGGTACTGTACTGTAGCGGGGACACCATGAATGGTGTACGAAACGGAGGAACGTGAAACGGACCTTGAATGGTGCCGAATCCTCTCTCTGTGGACACGTACCGTTCAACATCCCTGTGAAATATCTTGGCTGACCTGTGATTCTGGTAAATAGGGATTGGCAATTGTTCACTCATGTAGCTAATAGGCCATCCAAACTCCAAATAATCTGCGACCACTTTGTCATGATAGTCTCTCAGAAGGTTACGCCATGTCTGGATGTGAAATGTGGTTGGCACAGGGAGTCTACAACCTTGGAAATTATAAGATCCGGAAGCTCGTACCTGAGCGTGTAACTCCAAAAACACGTTGGCTGTAGACGTGTCGGCTGCTTGTGTGAGGTCCTGACCTGACACCGTGGATGACAGCTCGCAGCGCGGGCTAGCTGTAGTGTCAAGAGTACGCCTCATGCCAGTGCCAGTCGTAGGATTGGTACAGTCCACGTGTACCGTTGACGTGTCGCCAGTCGCGGAAGTTAGTGCTCCGCTTGCTAAAAGTGAAGTAAAGCTACGACTCCCAACATGTCCTTGAAGTGTACCCGACAAGGCACCCGGGTTGTCTTCCAAAGACGTAGGCATGTCCGCTGCTTGTGTGAGGTCCT